TGGCCGCTGCTCACGCACAGGCCGTTTCGGTGGTGTGCCCGCCTGGCTAAGCCTCTAAGAGGAGGAGGAGGAGGAGGAGGCCCGTGTTGGAGATGACCTGAGCGAAGGACGGAAGGGCTCGGTGACAGCCTGCCTGTCAAGGAGTGAAAGACGGAGATTATCTGACAAAAGAAAAACAGCAGGGTTGACTGCTCTGATAGGGAAAAGAAGGGACAGTCCGGAAGAAAAAGATAACAAATTTTAGCCCTGGCCTTTTCAAACATCAACTGGCAGTGGGGATAGTGCAAAGGCAGTTACCGAGGTGAAATTAAACTGATTATGGTAGGAGCTGGGAACAAAGTGGAATTTGGGAGTTCATCGGAGTGGGAATGGGAACTAATGCCTTAAGGGGCCAGATAAGAGCAGTAAACGATTTAAATGCAAGGAGGGGAATAAGGACAGAGCCCCGAGGGATACTGCTGAGGCAGGGAGGAGCGGCTGAAAGAGCAGTCATTGAGTTAGGAGGGGAACCAGATGAACTGCAAAAGAGCTCAGGGACAAGAGGTGTGTCCCAAAGCAATGGGCAGTTTCAGAACCGTAAGGAGGTGATAGAGGCTCTTAAGTTATTCTCCTGGCCAAGCATAGTTGCCAGTATTTTCATTAAAGGGTCAGAAATTAGGCTGCAGCAGATCAAGCACACTTAATGGAAGTGAGAGAGAAATCTGAGGGGAAAAAAGAAAAAATGTGTACCTCGGTCAGCTTTGAAGCAGAAAAGCAGTGCAATGGAGAGCTAACTTGTGTGCATGACTGGAAACTAGGGCTACGGTGCTCCTCTCCTGGCTCTAGGATGTTACTAAACTCTCCGTCCCTTCCAATAGGATCAGTGTGGCAGGAATGGATTAATGCTCTTTGTTCCCTGCTCTGTGTAGCCCTACTGATGTTACTGCTGTGAGGAACATAAGAGCGCTTAGAGCCCTGCAGAGCAGATACCCCAAAGTAACAGCCCATTGCAGGTATGCCTGTGATCTGTTTCTGGTTAGAGGTGCTTAGAAAATTGATAGGTGGTAGCTAAAAGCTTGAACAAGAAATCAAAAGTAAAGAAATCTGGCCTTTATTAGACAAGTGCACCTTGAAGAGACAAATACATTTGTTTTCAGGAAAGATCACCAGGTGGAATGAGAAGTCAGAGTGGGGGCAAGTTTGCCTGGGAAGGTTGTTTTTTTTCTTTTTTTTCTTCGATTCTAATTGCATTCAATTAAAACCTAATCCAGAGAGTAGTACATTATTCTCCTGCACACGGCCTTTCCTTTACTTAACAACAAATCTCCCCTACAGGCAAGGGGAGGGTAGGGGAGCTCATTATTTCGAGGTCAGTTAATTTGTCGGTATCATGGGACATGTTTTTGTGGGGTTCGTGCTGGGGAAGTTCTCTGCTGATGCAGAGGAGAGAGTTTTCCATGCTTTCTATACCCCACTGCTGCTATCTCCTCTGCTCATCCCGCAGTGGGATTTGCCCTGTGCTCTGGAGCGGCGGTGTGCCCTGGTGCACCGCGGTGCTGCCCAGGACGCAGTGTCCCTCTGTAGGAAGGAGGAGCAGGGCCAGCGGGTTCTGTGAGTACTACCTGCACCCTCCCCTTTAAGGGAGGAAGGTGGTCAGTCGAGGGAGAATGCTAAAGAATAAGTCACTTGATTCTAATGCTAACTGAGGAGCTTGGAAGGGGAGATTATCCCTAAGATACTGTGCATATCTCCCTGTCTTTAGTCCTTCTGCTTAAGGTCTTGCCTGCTTTCTTCCACAGACTGCTATCAGTCAGAAGAGATAAGGCATGATTTCACATGCATTTTTCAGGTGTAGTACTGACTTCAGCAGGCTGTGACCACTTGTTCCTGCCTCCATTCCTCCCGGTCAGTTGTGTCAATAGAGCTGTTTGTGCTGCTAGAGAACTGGGTCAGGGGAGTTTCGGGCTGAGAATAGCCCAGTCTCCCCTTGGAGGTTATTTTTTGTGTGTGTTTTTCATTGATCTGGGTTCATCACACCATCCTGCAATGTTTTAGCGCAGTAGAGGGGGTGCAAGCAAATGGCCAATAATTAGAGGCAGATCTGCTTAAAACTAGAGGTTCTGCAGAAAGAAATGCGTGTCCCTGCTTTTTTTTGAATGTTTTGAAGCTCCATAGTTCAGATGGGGCTGCAGCTGCTCCTGTTACCATCCGATTCTCAGAGCCATCACAAGGGGACCTTGGGGATGCAATAGTAGCCATGGGGCATAGGGCAGGGAGGGGGGAGTCCCACTCTCTGCAGGATGTAAGGATTACAGGGTTCAGTTTGGCATTTATAAACTGAAAAGTTGCTACAGCATATAGAAGTAATTTATGTATCACTCATAGAACTCCAGATTAATGGGTCTAGTGCATGAGTAAAGCTCAGTACTTTATGGCCTCAGTACTTTTGGGACTTAACAGGGTTTTAGAGACTGCCACTACTCCTGTGAATGAGGAGCAGGAATTGTGCTACCCCTGTGACCTGCCCAGTAAGTGCCACAAATGTGTGTCCCTTCTGCTCGCAGTGTTGCATAAAGTCACGAGTCCCGTGTGGGCTGGGGCTGAAGTTGCGTGCAGAGCAGGCTCGGGAACAGGTGTGAGCGTGCTGATCTCCATGGCTCTCACGGTAGCTGGCCAGCCACATGACCGACCATCAGCCCGACTGGTCAGGCTTTAGACACCTCTAGGATGTGTAAGAGCTACTCAGGACATGAGGTAGGCAGGGCTGGGGCATGCTCAGACTGACCACATTAAGGAGGAGTTGGGGGTAGCCTGGGTCCACTACTGAGCATGTGCTTGTGGGTAAATAACTGAGTGGAGAGCAAATCTGGAGGTGGGAATAGGTTCAGACCTGCTCCCCTCTGTCGACGTAGACATGTTCACATCCAGCTTGCTGCTTGGTATTGTCTGTGGCTGAAGTCTTTCTTGGACTCTTCACAGAGCAAGTTTGCCCTGGTTTCATATTTCTCCCTCACTGTGTAAATGCTGCTGACGTCATAATATTTAAATTAAGCATCCAGTAGTATAACAACAGAAGTATTTATGGTTTGCAGTGCGATTCTGTAAATTGTACTTAATTCTTTCTTTAAGGGCTAAATACGTTCCCCATCACCTGATGTTCGGTGGCGATTGGGCCACACGCTACACAGGTATCTTTTTTTTTTCCCACTGCTGGATATCCAGTTTAGGGCATCCAAGCTGAATTTTCCAATGTGTTACTCATCCAGGAATGGATGGAGAAGCAGGAGAAATAGTGATGTGCACTGCTTGCACTTTTCCAGTGTCAGACTTGCTGTTTTGGATATGCCTCAGAAAATGTCCACCAAGGGAAGTGGAAGTCAGCGTGCTGTACCTCAAGAGACCTTGTGACCACAAACTTACCTGAGAGGAATTAAGGGTATCAAATGGTCATACCTTGCTGTAACACTGATGTCTCTCATGTTAGAGTCTGAGAGCAGGCCAAAGATCAAAGCAGGAGAGGAGGGAGGAGATTTTCCCAGGTCACTTACTTGACTGTAGTGGTCACATAACTTCTTCCCTGCACAAGGATCAGTAGGGCATCATTCTGGTTTTGGCGGGGGCATGTGAAGAGGAAATGACAGTACCCTGGTTTACATTTGTTGTCTTTTTCAGAAATGTTAATTCACTGCAGACCATTGATAGTTCCTTAAATAT